CAGGCGGGTCTCGAACCTGTGGACTCAGGCAATCCACTCACCTCAGCCTCCCAAAGGTGCAGGATTACAGGCTGAGCCACCGAGCCCGGTGGCATTAAATATCTTATGTGGCATTCAATACATTAAATACTTTCACATTGCTGTAACCACCACCACCATCTACTTCCAGGCCTCTTTTCATTTGGAAAAATGGAAACTCTGTCCCCATGAAATAATAACTCTCCACTCCCCCTCCCCCAGCACCTGGCACCCACCATTCTACTTTCCGTTTCTATCAATCTTACAACTCTAGGAACTTCATGTAAGTGTAATCATATGGCATTTGTATTTCTGTGACTGGTTTATATCACTTAGCATAATGTCCTCAAGGCTTAAACATGTTGCGCATGTGACAGGACTTCCTTCCCTTTTAAGACTGAATAATTATCCGTTGTATGGATGGATCGCATCTTGTTAATCAACTCATCTGTTTGGTAGACACTTGGGTTGCTTCCATTTTTGGCTATTGCGAATCATGCTGCTATGAACATGGGCATACAAATATTTCTTGAGAACCTGGTTTTATTTTTAAAATTTCCAGCCTGGACAACATAGGGAGACCTCATCTCTACAAAAACAAAAAATCAAAAGATCAGCCAGGTGTGGTAGCAGGTGCCTGTAGTCCCAACTACGTGGAAGGCTGAGGTGGGAGGATTGCTTGAGTCCAGAAGGTGGAAGCTGTGGTGAACCATGATCGTGCCACTGCACTCCAGTTTGAAAGACAGAGTGAGATCTCAACTCGAAAATAATTTTTTTCTCACTACTTTTTTTTTTTTTTTTGAATCAGAGTATCACTCTGTCACCCAAACTGGAGTGCAGTGGCACACTCGCAGCCACTGCAGCCTCGACCTGCTGGGTTCAGGCAATCCTTCCACTTCAGCCTTCCAAGTAGCTGGAACCATAAGTCTATGCCACCATGCCTGGCTAAATTTTTTTTATGTATTGTAGAGACAAGGTCTCCCCATGTAGCTCAGGTTGGTCTTGAACTCCTGAGCTCTCACCTCCACCTCCCAAAGTGCTAGGATTACAGACATGAGCCACTACACCCGGCCTTCTTTTTTTTTTTTTGAATCGGATTCTCACTCTGTCACCCAAGCTAGAGTGCCATGCCCACGTGAGTGGCATGCCCATGGTCACTGCAACCTTGACCTGCTGGACTCAGGTGATCCTTCCACCTCAGCCCTCCAAGTTGCTGGAATCACAGGCATGTGCCACTATGCCTGGCTAATTTTTTGATTTATTGTAGAGATGAGGTCTCACCATGTTGCTTGGGTTGGTCTTGAACCCCTGAGCTCAGGTAAATCTCTATCCTCTGCCTATCTAAGTGCTGGGATTACAGGCATGAGCCACTGTGCTCAGCTCTCACTATTTTTTAAATTGACTAAAATTATGTGTGTGTGTGTGTGTGTGTGTGTGTGTGTGTGTGTGTGTGTATATATATATATATATATATATAAAATATGTGTGCTGTTTTGAAAAATGGATACGCAGTGGAACTGCTGAGATCCTGTTTTTAATTCTTTGGGGCATATGCCCAGAAGTGGAATTGCTGGATCATCATGGTAACTGTTTTTAATTTTTGAGCTAGCTAGGTGCTTGTAATCCCAGCTCCTCGGGAGACTAAGGCAGGATTGATTGAGGCCAGGAGCTTGAGATCCACCTGGACAACAAGGTAAAGCCTTGACTCTTAAAAAACAAACAAACAGCCGGGCTCGGTGGCTTAGCCTGTAATCCCTCTCCTTGGAAGGCCGAGGTGAGTGGATTGCCTGAGCCCGCAGGTTCGAGACCCGCCAGGGCAACTTGGCGAGACCTCATCTTCACAATAAATCAAAAATGAGCCGGGTGTGGTAGCGCACGCCTCTAGTTCCAGCTACTTGGAA